ATATCAGCACTTAACCATTGTGCCACCAGAGCTCCTAGCGCTCTTTCTACTAAATGCTGTTGAGTCCACTGAGACTCTTCAAGGCCACCTAGGGATCCCTAGGCTATAATTTTTGCAGAAGCAGACTGCCACATATTTCTCCTACAGAACCACTGTGGATTTGAACCACCCCCATTTCAGTCAGCAGCTGATGTTTAATCACTATACCACTAGGCTTCTCAGACAAACAGTTCTCAATACAATAAACCTCAGCGGTAGGGTTCTCAATACGATAAACAATGTTCTCAATACAATAAACCTCAGCCTCGGGGCCAAATCTGGATCATCACCTGTTTTTTGTGTAATTATGAGCCAATTAATAGCTTTTACATGATAAGTGGTTAAAATTAAATTAAATGAAAAATAACATCTTTGGGTTTTCACACATCAAAACAATCATTTGATTGTTACAGGGTTCTGAGGGGAAAGGAGGGAAGTCACCGGCTAGAGCAAGGGTCTTTTTTTATGTTTAAGTGCTATTGAATTGGTTTTTAACTCAAAGCGACTGTGTATAGAGTTTCCAAGGAGCAGCTGGTGAGCTTGAACTGCAGACCTTGCTGGCTGTTCAAACCAACCTTGCAGTCCAGTGCATTAACCCACAGCGCCACACCAGGACTACAGACAGCAGGGGTGGGGAACCTTTATTCTCCAAACATTATAACATCATTCATAGGTCATATGAAAATTATCAAATTAAAACTTAGCCTGCTATATTTGGTCAGACATTTAATTACTCAACCCTAATGAGGAGGTACAAGAGCTGAACAGAAAATTTCAAAGATCAGCTCAAGAAGATGAAGTCAAATATTACAACAAAATGTGCAAAGATCTGGAGGCAAAAAACCAAAAAGGAAGTACACACTCAGCATTTCTCAAGCTGGGAGAATTGAAGAAAAAATTCAAGCCTCGATGTCATTATTGGATTCGATGGGCAAATTACTGAATGATGCAGAAAGCATCAAAAGAATATGGAAGGAACATACAGAGTCATTGTACCAAAAGGAAATAATTGATGTTCAACCGTTTCGAGCAGAAGCCTATGATCAAGAGCGAGTGATACTGAAGGAGGAAGTCCAAAGTGCATTAAAGGAATTGACAAAGAACAAGGCAGCAGGAACTAATGGAATATAAATTTAAATCTTTCAAGAAAGTGAGGCAGCACAGGAGGCATTCACTCATCTATGCCAAGAAATTTGGAAGACAACTATCTGGCAAACTGATTAGAAGAGATCCATTTTGTGCCCATTCCAAAGAGAGGTTACCTAACGGAATGTGGAACTCATCAGACGATATCTTTGATATCCCACACGAGTAAAGTTTTACTAAAAGTAATACAGAAACAGCTGCAAGCATACATTAACAGAGAACTTCCAAAGGTTCAAGCCAGATTCAGAAGAGGCCCTGGAATGAGGGATATCATTAGTAATGTCCGATGGATCTTGGCTGAATGCAGA